GTTTTCACCACATTTTTACCGCATTTTGGCTCCGTTTAGTGCTGGAGGGAGCACAGCCTGTTGTTCGGTCAATGTAGGAGCACTCGCTGCCTGGCCACCTCCGCTTTTAAGCTCTTTTTAATTTTTCTTTCTGAGAGAGAGGGGATGTTGTTCTCTGCATTTTTACCACATTTTGTCATTGTTGAGTGCTGGAGGTGCAGGGTGGAAGGAACACAGGCTGTTGTTCGGACGGTGTAGGAGTACTCGCGGTCTCGCCGCCTCCGGCGCCGCGAGTGCCCCGTAAACAAAACCCTCCGTTTTGTTAGCACGGGCGGCGGGGCCTGCGTGGCGCAGGCAGTCTGAGCCTGCCCCCATCGCCACGACAGCGACCTTTCCGGCCCGCTCCCCCTCCCCTCCCGCCATCAGCCCCTGTGAGGGGCGGCGGGAGGTGACCGAGTGCGCCCTTCCCCCCCCCCGCCATCCCCGTCCCCTCACGGCGGGGCGGGGCGGGGCCGGGCGCGCGCCCCGGGGCGGGGAGGGCGGCCCGCGCCATCTCCCGCGCAGCCAATGGCGCGCGGCCGGCCCGCGATTCAAACGGCGCGTCCCGGCCAATGGGCGCGCTTGGCGGGCGGGAGAGGGGGCGGGGCCGCGCGCGCGCCCGTAACCGTCGCTCGGCGGGGCGGTTGTTCCCTCAGCGAGAGCGGCGCGCGCTCGGGCCCCGCTCCCGCCGCTCCGCGGAACCGCCTCGGCCCGGCCCGGCGCGGGCGGGCTCCAGGTAACGGGAACGGCGGCGCGCGCGGGCCCGGATGCTCCCGCCTCCCGTCCCTTCCCCTCCCCCCAGCTTTTCCTCGGCGGCTTTCCGGGCGGGAAGCGCTCCGGCCGATCGCTGCGGCCGCGCTCGGGCCTCGCTCCCGGCGGGCGGACGGGCGGCGCGGGCCCTTCTCTCGGGGCACCGGAGGTGGCGGGGCCGAGCCGCCCCCGCTTTGTTCGGCCGCGCCGGGCTCCGAGCGGGAGTAGGCCGCCGAGGGGCGGCGCGGCCCCGCCCTTCCCCCGGGCGGAGGCCCCGCGCCAGGCCCGGGCGGGGCGGGGCCTCCGCCGGCACGTGGGGCCTTCCTGTCAACAGCGCCCGCCGCGCTCGGGCCTCCCTGCGCGCTTTGCTTCCTGCTCGCCGCGATTCCGCTGGGACGCCTCTTGCAAGGGAAGATCCTCGCTTCCCAGCCCGAGGGTTCATGGGTTGTTATTTTTGCCTCGAGGCTTCTTGGTGCTTGATTTTTTTAGTGGTGAAGTTAAGCTGGCTTGGATAGGGATAGTTGCCTCCACTGTTCTGAATGTGCAGAGCTGGAAATGTGGAGAGAATGGTGTTGCTGTAAAGGTCTTCCACAGCTCTCTTTGGTGAATTCAGTAGTAACTTTCTGCGTATTGTTAGCCTTGGCTGTCAGCGTTTTTTTTTTATTTTCCTGCATTTCTGCTTGCATTAAAATGGCTCCCTCCTCTGACATCCAGAATGTTATCTGAGAGTGGTGGCATGTCAGAATTAGTAAATGGAATCACTGAGTGTGTGGGAGGTTTGCTCTTTTAAGAGGGAAAGCTTGTTGAGTGTTTAGTTATCTTTAAAACTGTGTACCCAGCTTTTGCTGATGGGGTGTGATCTCTCTGTGGCTACAAGGTAACTGTCATCACTTTCTCCACACTGAAATATCTTCCCACATATCTACTGAGAGAGTCATTAAGAAGACCAGAAATGCATGCATGGGGCAATACATTTCTCAGCCAAGTTTCTTTTAAATTATTTCGTTCTTGTCTGAGTCAGCAGAAACTTTTATTCTTTACCAACTTTCAAGCTCCAGCGAGATTTGCATTAATTGGCTTGGCTTGGTACAGGATACAAAGTCCTTTTGAGACTTTCTCTTGGACTCTGGATTCCTAAAGAAAATAGTAATGCTTCAGAAAACACAAATTTCATCTCCTGAATAAGTGACTAAACTTGCAGTTAGGTGTCTGTGCAGTGCAGGGTTCATTGTATGAGATAATTTTCTTTGGATTTATGTTTTGAAGCCCTGGGAACTCAAAAGTTCTGCAGAGCTACTGGCACTATTATGCCGATGCCAGCTGATACCATGAAAATTATCAGGGGTGTGTAGAACTTGAAAGAGCAGTAAATTAAAAATGTAATCTCTAAACCGAATTTTTTTTAAGGACTTCCTGTCTTTTTTCGATGCTAGTAATTGTGTTTGTTATCTGAACAGATGAAGGCTGCCTTTAAAAGGTGCAGCTTTTTGAAGTGGGATATAAGGAATGAGGATTGCAGACCTCCCTCTCAGGAGGCACTGGGGTGCAGAACAAGTTGATTATTTTTGATAGGGTAAGAAGTTACATTTACTTATTTTAATGTTTTGTGTTTGAGCTTATTATTAAGCTGTAATACTTAAGAAAAAGAATTGAAAATACATAGATTTTCCCATTAATAAGATTGTTCATTACTTTTGACTTAGAAGATATTTCACTTGCTTATTTATTATTTTGGAATCTTGTATTGGTGTCTACCTCAGGCTGAAATACACGACATGTATTTAGCTACAGGTCTTCAACCACATCTTTCCATTTTTTAAAAGTAACCGCAGCTCCTTTTGAGAACAGGATTGGACAAAATGAAGGTCCTTCTGCCTTTCACAAGAATTAAATAATCAAGTTACTTTTTCTTTGGACTTTGTGTTTGCATACAGAGCTGCTGGATTTTGAAATCTGGCAGAGAATAGCTTTTTATTATCCCTATGAAATTGTATCTAAATTCTGAAGTGGTTGCTATAAATTGGAAAATCTAGTGTACGTGTCCTCAGTAACAACTTCATGAAAAAACGTTACCCTTTTTGAAAAGGATTTACCCTCCAAAATCCCGTTTTTTACAACTTTGTGTGAGGATGGGCCAGCCTGGTCCTGCTCAGGCTCCAGGTTTGCAGCTGATGCCTGAGGTGCTGCCGGTCAGGAGCAGAAATAGTTGGCCGGGGTGTAGGAAAGTGCAGCAAGCGGAGGGGAAATGAAGTCATGGATCAGGGTGTGGCATCTGGGGACAGCTCTGAGCGCACTCAGGGAGCTCCGGTGTTCTACATAAGGAAGAGCACGAGGAAGATGTCGCTGCAAGAGGCTGGCAAAGAGCTGTAGTAGACCTGGATCTCCTAGAGAGCTGCCTTGTGGGTGAGAAAACTGGGCAAGGAGACAGAAATGGGGATTGGGTTCAGATTTGGGCAGAGGTGGCAAAGAGGAACTGGTTTGGTGAGCAAGGGCAGAAAAGGCAGAAAATCCACAAAGACTCCAAGATAGAGGGTAAGGAGAGAATGGAGAATTTGAAATGAAAATATGTAAGTCATAAGAAATGGGGCTATGAATTTGAAGGGATTAAGTTGACTGGGATAAAAGAAAGTTGGAAGAGTGAGAATTCAGAAAGAATAAGACAGAAACAGGAAATTGGGACAAGAAGCACGAGTTAGGAGGCTGAAGAGCTGGAATACCACATGCCTAACAACTGACTGGCAAGTATCAGTGAAACCAAATTTTAAAACTTTTTTTTCTCCTTCAAGTATTATACAACAAAGGAGATGGCCAGATGCTTCTGGTCTGAAGCAGTTTGGAGGATTAGTAATAAAATTCATATGAGGGAATTCTGCTGATTCTTTTTTGTTATTTTTTGACTTGGAGAGCTACACAGGTATGAAATTTAACAGCAGCAGCAATGTCATAAAATGCCAGAATCAATGTTTATTGTAAAACCCCACTGAGCACCATCCCCCAATGTGTGATGAAGTTCTGTGATTGAATATTAACAGTATTTTTTTTCCCAAGAATCTTAACTTTTCACTGCAGTTTAGTTACTATGTAATGATTAACTAGTTAAAGACTTGTATTTACCTTAGTTTGTGTGGTTTCACTTTCTTATCAAATTTATAAAGCAAACAAGTTAAAATGAAATGCTTTGACACCAACATTTTGTGGTTTGTGTCTTTTCCCTGTCCCTGCCATCCCCTCTGAGTTCCTGTGTTGATTGTATGCATAGTGCTAGTACAAATGTTAGTGTATATTGTACCTTAGTTATGCTAGTCTCACTTGATACATTGAGATTAAAAGTTTATTCTGCTTGGGATATCTGTTTTCAGAAGACAGTGACATAACACAAAGCACTATACAAACAGTTTAAGAGGACTTTACACTTAAAAACAACTAAACAACTTCCTCTAAGTTGTAGTTGTGGTTTTTCCCAGCATGCGGTGGGCTGAACCAAGGGTAGTAGTCACTTACACAGTTTGGTAATATCAAATAAAATTCTGGTGATGCAGATGAGGGATAGAATTTAGTTTTTCAGGTTGCTGTGTGAATGTGTGATGCTGTGGAATGCCCTGGAAAAGGCATAATGCTTGGAAAAAACATATGCCCTTGTGCTTAAAGAGGTGGAAAAGAAAAATATTGAACCCAGACAGGAGCTTAAATTCCGAAGTTTCCTAACTTTTGAGTGTTTGTAGTAATAAATTGAAGAAAGACTGTAATGTGGCTGTACGGTTTGAATAGATTGGGGATGCGTAATGTTTAGAAATCATCACTTCTGTAATTTCTGTAGAACCACAGGAAACGCGGGTTAGAGGACACTTCATTGCCATGTAATTTGCATTTTCCTCTAGATAAGATGGGCTTCATTATGTAATTTTGGTCAAAGATGTGCTTTTCTTGATGATGGAGATTGTATATCATAGTTCAGTACTAGTCTAATACATCTGAATGTTTTTCCAGAACATGCAACTTCAATCTTCTATTTTAAGACTATTTCTTCTATCTACTGTTGATTTGGAAAAGAGATCACTGCTTTCTTATCACACACCCTTTTCTCTAGGTAAAGTGGGGACTTGTTGCAAGTGTCCCCTTTTCGGTTCCATGATACAGAAGGAAAATAGGGGAAAATGAAGCCTAATGCTTAGCTGTCACGTGGGCTGACCGATTTCTTTTCCAGGGACTCTGTTTGGAAAATGCCAAGCCGGAAGTTTGCTGATGGTGAGGTGGTGATGGGCCGTTGGCCGGGAAGCGTCCTGTACTATGAAGTACAAGTGACCAGTTATGATGATGTAGCTCATCTTTATACTGTCAAGTACAAAGATGGAACTGAACTTGCACTGAAGGAAAGTGATATAAGGGTGAGTACACATGTTCTTAATTATCAGTACTTCAACTTATGACTGGGTAGTTATTTTGCAAGTTTTTGTTAGCTGTGTCTTCAAGGAATTGGTACTAAGTAAAACTTTATTCCTGTGTGACACCTCAAGCAGAAGTTGAGAATGACCTCATCTTTAAAGTATCGTGGTTGTTTTATTTATGTCCAAAAAATATAATATTTTTGAGAAAAACCAAGTCTGATCTTTCAGGAACTCTATAGCATGATTTTTCATAAAATGGTTTGGCTGCCTTACAAAGGTAGTAATCAATGGGTTGATATTAATTTGATGGTTTTTTTCTATCTTTAAATGAGAAAGTTTGATAAAAAATGGGAAGATGCATTTAAATGTCACTGTAAATATAAACAGTGCATGCCCTTCAAGCACATACTTAAAACATCTGCAAATAGCTTTTATTAGTTCAGGTCCTCAATGGCTTCATGAGGTACTTTGCTCTATTTTTGACAATCACAAACCCTTGAGAAAGGTTCATGTCATATAAGCACATTCCTTCCTCTTTACATATAATATTTTACTTTTTTTTTGTTAATAATGAAGGCTTTTAAAACTATAGAAGTTTCAGTTGAAAATTAATAATGCAGGAGGAAAAAACTCTGTTTGAATGCTCACTGTAGTTCGTTTCTATGGCTTGTTCTGAAAGCTGCATAGGTTCAAAGCCAGCTTGTATGTCTTTATGTGAACTATAGTGTCACTTCTTGGTGGCAGTGTCCATGCCCAGTAACTGGCCTTCTCTTTTGGGACCAAAATTTTCTGCCTTAAGGTAGGCAACTGTTTTCACTGTTTCACAACTTTCTGACTTGCTACTTCTGCATGTAGGTTAGCAGACTCAAGCTGGGAGAATGCCTTTCTTTTTCATGAAACATTTATGCACTATAAAAGTTGCATTGTGGAAATTTTACATAGGGAAATCAACATTGCAGACTTCACAGAGAAATCAAACAGTGCTTCCGGAGTAAACTGTTCATGAAATTAGTTAGCAGATATAATTAAATGATTAGACTGACTTGGGTTTTTTTAGTGTTGCCTCACACAGATGATGAACCTTGCTATGTGAAATGCATTAATAAAGCTGAGTAGTGGAAGTGAGCAGCCACTGAGGGCTTAAGAGACAGCTCTCAGTTCCTTTCCCTAGGCACAGGATTGAGAGGGTGGTGTGCTTAACAGCTTGGTGCTCACTTTGGTAGTGAGCTTACATCCATATCCTGATTTCTGTAGCTTCAACAGGAATTGCTAGCAGCAGTTGGGCTTGGAACAGGCTTGTTTGGAAATTGCCAGCAAAATGAATATTCTGCAGTTGCTCTTTCTTAGCAGCCTTTGTAGCGCATCAGTAGAGGAAATATGAGACAGATCTATAGAATTGTATGCCAGAGCCCTCATCACAAGAACCCCCCATGTTTCTAAAATTGTTCTCTGGGACATAGATAAGATTTTGCTTTCTTTCCATCTTTCTTGTAGTCGCAGTCATCGTTCAAGCACAGGAAGAGCCAGTCTTCTTCAAGTTCTCCCTCCAGAAGAAGTAGCAGCAGATCTCGCTCTCGCTCTCGGTCTCCTGGCCGGCCAGCAAAGGGCAGGCGTCGTTCTGCTTCCCAAAGCAGGGAGCAAAAAGATGACAAAAAGAAAACCATTCAGGAGACCAGCTTAGCTCTACCGGTATTAGTTTGGTTTGTTGGTGTTTTGTGTGTGGATTTGTTGGATTTTTATTAAAAGAAACTTTTGCTATTTGTGAAAGATTGGTTTTATGCAGACTGGGTTTATCTTTGTAAAAGCCAGCTGTAGTTTCTGTTCCCTGGACAGCATAATTACCAGCAAAAGTAAATCTCAGAACTGCCATTGTTTAATTTAGAAATTGGGTTTCTAGCTTGCAAAGTTTGAGGAAATTCTTGAGAGGTAAACCAAAGTTAGAAAGTTCTGCTTGAATTTGGTGATACTGTGAACTTCTCAGAATCCAAACAAACACAATTTTTAAAATATTTAATATTAAAGTAATTGTTAGCCATGTGCTTCTACTTGTGAAATGGGGCAAAGGAAGTTAGCTTACTTTTAGATGTGTTAATTGGAGCATAGCGGTAGGTATTAGGATTTGAAATAAAATGACTTCTGTTACCATATACGTTTTGTTGCAATAGTAATGGAAAACACACAGTATGGAATATGTAAGTATGAAATATTAATATTGCTGATGGATAATATTGAAAAACTGGTTTCATTATAAAAACTAACCTGTAAGGATTTCTAAGTTTACCAATATATGGTGTCTAGCTGAAATTTATTAGGTTTGTTCTTAGCATTTTTGTGACGATCGAGTGCTAAAAATGGTTCTGATGATCTTTAAGTGAAGAGGAGTAGAGGTGATGTTTCTCTATGAAAAGACAACATTTCTCCTGCCTCTTGTGCCCTTGAGATGGCTTCTCACTTGTCTGAGACACAGTTCCTGAAACTGGAAATGCATTCTTCTGATCTGTTGAAAATGAACAGGGTTTAGTTAGGTTTCAGCTAAACTAAACCAGATTAATATAAACTAGCTAGATAGGTTTAGTAAATTGCTGCTCTTAGGCACTGAAACAGTTGTGGGGTTTGTTTTGAGCTCCTTTGAGCTGTGTCATCCAGTGCCCGTGGAGCACAATCTGGTTTTAAGTAGTTTTTTAGCCAGCAACTAGTTTACTTTTTGTACTTTTAACCTTTTGAGATAAAAGGGTTAGAAAGTCTTTGGTGGTTTTGTCCTGGCTTCTGTCTGAGGAGTAGGATTGATCTGTTGGCTCTTGTAAGACTGGAAAGACTGGGTTCTCTTCAACAAAACTTAGTTGAAATAAAACATATGATTCGTGTCTTCCCAGAGCTGTGTAAGCTAGACTCACGAGAATAATTTCTATGAGAAAATTTATTTATTCGAAGGTATTTTATGGAAAATCAAACTTTCGGTTCTGCAGAACAGCGCCATATATAGGACACTGAAAGCTTAAACTGTGTTTTTTGTTTTGACCAGAAACCGAGTGAGAATAACACCAAAAGGTACAATGGTGAACCTGAAAGTACAGAAAAAAATGCCACATCTTGCATTATATTGGAGGTAGGAACACGGAATTTACTCTTAGCTTTTTGTCACATTCCTAGCTTGGCTCTCTGAGATTCCTTCAAAAGGGCAATACAGTAATCAAGCAGAAATAGAAGGCAACATGAAACTTAGAGGTTAAGTTTGCTGCAGAGAAAGTGATTTTTTTTTTTTGCCTTAGTCCTGATTGGTATGTAATGCCCAGGCATATGGCTGAAGGGAAAGGGGGAGGGTGGCAATGAATGATCTGTACTGAAACTGCTGCTGATCTATAATCACAGCCTAATAGGTTACAGTGCCTGGTTTTAGCAGTCTGTTTATAAAAATAAATAATTATATATTGGTGTTTTACAGTGAGTAATAAACCTCTGATGACACTCTGAACTATAAAATATTGGACTAAAACAAAGTAAAATCACTGGGAAACCTTTTAGTAAATTATTTTTATTCATTCACAGGAAAAGTTAAAACCAGACCTGGAAATCAAACGTGTGCTTGAGCAGTACAGCTTGCGTTCGAGGAAAGATGAGAAGAAGAAAGAAGAGATCTATTCAGAGAAAAAGACTTTTGTGGCTGTAAAACCAATTGAGAAAGTACCAACAAAAACAAAGGAGCTGGAGTTTGGGGGAAGAATTGGTATGTGTACAAATTGCCTTAATAGTTGAAAAGTAGTAGTATTTTGTGGATTTTTACTTATTGACCATGCTGTTGCATCAAGAACTGCTTTTTCGACTTTGGCTGCAGAATTCAGAGTAAAATTGTTGTGTTTCACTTGATTTGGTGGCAAAGAACTGTTATTGTACTTGGTTCATATGTGAAATACAGCAAAGATCTTGTGCCATCCCTTGCCACGGTGAGATTTAAGTATTTCTAGATTAAATTTAAGAATAACCAGCGAAGCTTTTACATTTTCAAAACTTAGGTGTTTGAAACTTGACAGTAAAGTATTTTTTAGACAGTTTTTGGAATATTTTTGAAGGGATGCAATGAGTGTGATCCCGTGGTAGATGACCTTGTATGGGAGTGAGAATAATGCCCCTGTGTACTGTTACATGACTATGAGATTGCTGCTGTCTTGTTCAGGAGAAAATAATGACAACCTCTTCTTTGTTACTTAATATTGAACTTTTTTAGTGAGATTGAAAGTGTTTTTTTTTTTATTTTCTATACTTAACCTTCTAACATGCCATGATGTCTGTTTACAGGGACCTTCATGCTGGTACTTCTCATGCCTGCTACTGTATTCTACTTGCTGTTGGCATGCAAACAAGATGATCCAAGTCTTCTGAACTTCCCTCCTCTGCCAGCACTGGAGAGTCTTTGGGATGGGAGGGTGTTTGGTATCTTTCTTCTGTGGTTTTTCCTTCAAGTTGCATTTTACTTCTTGCCAATTGGAAAGGTAGGCTGTTGGGAGCAATTGGGTCTCCATAGACAACTAAATTGTAGTAAGCTGAAAGGTGGGGTAGGTTCTAAAGGCAGTTTGAAAGCAATTTAATTAGAGTTTTTCATAATAAACTGGAATATGGCTGCTGCAGATTTCTGTAGGCTTAAAACAGCACAGTTGGTTAAGCGTTTTTGCATTTCAGAGCCTTTCAGTAGAGAGAGCAGAAGGCATTTCATAGGCATTGATTTCGAAGTGTGGATAAACTTTCCTTGATAGAGTTCTAGAAGAACTTTAGATATCTGACTTCTAATTTCACAAACTATTTCAATACTTAGTTTCTTATGGATATCCAGCATTTTGGAATGCAATCCTCATTTACAGGAATCTAGAAACCATTCTAGCCATATGTATGTATATTGGGCAAAGGCTCTCCTTTCCTCTGTTGTGACTTGAAGGTTAGTGTCAGATTCCGAAAGGACGCTCTGAAGTAGATCAATCATGTTTTATTGCTGTACATATCCACAGTGATTGGAGAAGTTCTGCTTTCTTGAAGCTGGTTAGGAAGAGGTTTAATTTAAAACTGTTAATCTTTTTCATTTGCTATCCAGAGTGTGTTTTTCAGAACAATGCAGGAGCTTCAGGTTTGAGTGTGTGTTGCTTTGACTGAATGTCTTGCTGACAGAGTTGAACTTGGGTTTTCCTCCCTTGAAGAGCCCACAGAAAATACTTTGTTGAGCATTTATATTTTATTCTTCTTAGGTTGTAGAAGGCCTGCCTCTTTCCACTGGAAGGAAACTGCAGTACCGGATAAATGGTGAGCATGTTGCAGCTACTCCTAAGCTGATTCCATTGTGTGATTTGCAGTGGTTAGCACCATAAAATACAAATGTTGAAAGATAGGGTTTGACCAGAGAGTGTATCTGTTGTAACTCTTGGATAAAATGGGATGAGCCTTTTTCTTGGAAAAAGGTGGTTAGCAATCGTCAGGAACTAAGTGCCTCAAGAGCAAGACCTGACACTGAACAGGGGTGGTAGTGGAATCCAAATACTACATTAAAAAGCTGATTTTTCTCATAGTCTGGTAAGATGCACCATTTTAAAGTTGGAATAGGGCTGTAAGCAACAAACAAGGGGAATTACATCCTGTGAAAGTTAGTCTTATTGAGGCTCTCTCATACTTGTCTTGATTTTGGACTTTCGTCTATAGTCATTCCATAGTGCTACAATTCTTCTGCGTTCTGATAAAGGGAGGAAATAAGCTACATAATTTGGATTATTTTAAAAAAATGCATCGTCTTGGTGCTTTGAAGGCTAATTTTAAAAGCAAATTTAAAAGCCTTCTTGAAAATAAAGGACAGGAGGCACTGGGTGCAAAGTGAAGTACAGGAGGTTCCATCTGAACTAGACCAGATGAGCTCTGGAGGTTCCTTCTAACCTCACCCCCTGTGACCGTGTGAAGGGATCCATAGAAAGTCCTTAGCTGAGTGCAGCAGAGACCTGCCTGCTCCTGTTTGGGCATCAATCCATTCTGCAGGAAATTATATAATGCTTTTTCTCTTCAAGCTAGGTCTTACAAGCTCTCTGAGATAAGCATTATACCCTTGATAGCTCAGCTACATTAGGTGGCATAAAAGAAGCAGGATGGTTCCTGTGACAGTGTTGGAAACAAAAAGTTTTAATAAAAGCCAAAAATAAAAAAGCTCTTTACAGAGAAAAACTGAGTCAGGGCAAGAGGTTCTTGCTCCTGCTAAAACACTTAATAAAAGCGATTAGTTCTTTTGTTCTCTTCTTTTTCTAGTTAATTTCTTAGGCGGGACTCTTTGGCTTCTGTCCAATTAGCTATCCTTAAGTTTGAGGTCAAGTCCATAAGGTCTTGTGAGGTGTCTTTTAACCAAATTGAGGAGAGAAATTTCTGGGCTTTTTTCCTTTTTAAGGGAACAAAGGGTAACTTGTTTAGCCCATCAACAAGGGGCACATTCCTACAATTATACTCTCAACGTATGCAAGAGTTTTTGTGTTCAAGATTTGACTTTATAAGTCATTTTAATACTTGAATTACTGCTATCTTTATCAAGGTGTATATGAAGATAATTCAATGATGAGAATATGGTTGTCTCAGCTGTCCCACAGATAAGACTTTGTGACCTGCTCTCATTATCTGTTAGTCCATTTTTTTCACTAAAATCTGAAATTGGATTGCTATGGCATAAAAAAATTGAGAAGTATTCAGTGTTCCTGCCTCCTGTCCTTTTGGTGAGCAGAGTTTCAGGGCTTAGAGTCTCTTAGTTATATTGCTGTGCCCTCGAGGTTTGAGCCATGGGATGTCCAAGATGTTACTGGAATACGGACAAGTATTGGGAGAAGTAGAAGTGCAGAAAGGTTGGATTAGGTAGGTCCTACTAAAATTATAAATTGGTTTTTTTTTTCCCTTGACTAATATGTCTTTCTTCTACATCCTTTAGGGTTTTATGCTTTTATTTTGACTGCTGCAATTATTGGAGTTTTATTATACTTTCAATTTGAGCTTCATTATTTGTACTATCACCTCATGCAGTTTGCAGTGTCAGCTGCAGCTTTTTCTTTGGCACTGAGCATTTATCTGTATGTTCGATCCCTGAAAGCACCTGAGGAAGAGCTAGCACCAGGTGGAAATTCTGGTGAGTTAGAACATTCTGGATAATTTCTTCCCAGTTGTTTGCTAGAGTTTCATTTCTACAAATTAAAGGCTAGATTTGGGGCTGGTTATTATAATACTATAATGCTGTGACTTTTACTTTTTTTTTTTTTTTTTTGCAAACTGTCCCAGATGTTATGAATTCAGATTCAGGGCATGGTATTTTCCTTCTTGTCCACGTTTTTGGTGGATGGGTAATTGTCACAGCTAAAGGGAATTATTTTCCCAGACAAAAGCAATTAAATAGGAGAAAATGTAAAGTTTAATGCCATATGATCATGTTCATAGATAGTGTGATGTGAGCTTCAGGATAAGGCTGAAAATAAAGAAGGAACAAGTGTCAGAGAGAACTTCTGAAGTGGTTAATCCTCCTAATCAATAAAATATTAGGGCATCTTAAAATACAAACTATATAGATTTTATTTTTTATTTTGCACATATTCTTTTTTTTTTCTTTTTTGCCAGTCTGAAGGCTTTTAAAAATTTGTAATGAGAGAACATTCGTGGAAAGTGGGATTTTGTTTATGGGGAGGAGTGTAGTGGCAGATAAGAGTATTGCTAACAGAGCTTGTGTCTTACTGCAGGGTATTTTATTTATGATTTTTTTACTGGACATGAATTAAACCCTCGTATTGGCAGTTTTGACCTCAAATACTTCTGTGAGTTGCGTCCAGGATTAATTGGCTGGGTGAGTCAGTAGTCTGAGTTATTTTATTTGCTTAAATATTACACTGAGGGATTTTTTTACACACAAACACAGATATAATTGATATTAAGGATATATATATATATATATATATATATATATATATATAAATACTTATAAATGAGTACTGAAAAACAATTCCATGTTGCTAGTTTTTTAATGACTTTATTCATTTGAAGGAAATTTCTGACTTCTTTTGTTTTGTGGCAAATAAAAACCTATTTTAAAGTATTCATATGTTGAGGTTATACAGCTTCAAAAATGTGGTTAGTTGCAAACTGACTCGTGAAATAGTTTATTTTTTTTAACTTAAACATTAGTCAAAATACCTGTGTTCAAATGTCCTGTAGTGTAATAGAAAATACCACTTTCTGTAGAAGTAAATTTTTAAAGAGAATTGTTTCTAACCTAGGTTGTTATAAACTTGGCAATGCTCTTGGCTGAGATGAAGATATACAATCTCAGTGTGCCATCCCTGTCCATGATTCTTGTGAACAGCTTCCAGCTTCTCTATGTGGTGGATGCTCTTTGGAATGAGGTGAATACCCATCCCCTTCACCTGTTTCCGTTTCTAATTACACTGTTAAGAAAAGGAGGCTTTGGAAATGCTAAAATTCCTTCCTTTTTGTTTCTAGGAAGCTGTTTTGACTACAATGGATATTACCCATGATGGATTTGGATTCATGCTGGCATTTGGAGATCTGGTGTGGGTTCCATTTGTCTACAGCCTGCAGGCCTTCTACTTAGTGGGTCATCCCACCACAATTACTTGGCCTGTTGCTGCTGGAATTACTGTTCTGAACTGTAAGTTACACTAAATGTCATTGTTACTCTTGGTTACAACATAGTTCTGATTCTGTTTCTTCAGAGACGGGCGGTGAAGCTTTAGCTCAGATGCAGCAGTCATTATCTGGCTACTGTGAATACAGAGAATATAATAAATTCTCATTTTAGCAAATGAAGGATAGGTGAGGCTCTGAACACCTAATTGTTCTGTTGAGAGGCAGCTCTAGGTAGGTGCTGTCTGGAGTTGAAAAAGTGACCTAACATATTTTGAGTTTAATAGATGCTTTTTTAAGTCAATCTGAGCAACTAGTTAAAAAAAAATGTCAGTACCTTGTTGGCTATGCTCTACTGAACCTAGGGAAAAAGTAACTATTTGCACTATTTGCATCTCCTTCCCTGATGGCCATAGTTACAAACATATGTCAGTAGAAAACACCTTTTTTCATCAAAGCTGAATGCTTTGAGAAAAGATCTCACATCTTTAGGCAACCTTAAATTTGCACCAACATAGCCTGGTTGTCCCTGTTGTCTGAATAGGAAACCCAAAAAACTCCACTCATATTTTGTAGACACGACAAAGAATTGGAAATATGAGAAGACACACAACTTAATATGTGCAATACTGAAAAACAAAATAATTTTTTTCATCTTCACCTAATGTTTTTTTTTTGGGTTTCCATTTTTTTTTAATAATACCTTTATTCAAAGTATGTCGTGATCATCTTTTTTCAATGCAACTTTGGAAAAAGCAAGTTTAAGCTGCTGCGTGAAAATTTTGGGGGATTTGAATTTCAAACCCAGATAATTCATTGCCTGGTTCTTTTATTATCATGATCTTGTAAATGAGTTGTCAGTTTATGGAGTAGGTACTGTAACAAAGTGCTAGGCTGCAAAATAGAGCTGTAATCATACAAAGTGCAGCACATCATGGTATGTGAATTTCAAACTCAGTCTTGCATTAAAAAACTCAGAGATGTAAAAGAGATGTGAAATTAAAGGTTCCTCAGAATCTCTTCAAAGTTAGTCAGTAACAAGAAGGAGCATGGAATGCAGGTTTCCAGTGGCATTTGTCTTGTTAGAGGTCTGAGAACAGAAAATACCAGTTGAATCTCTGGGGAAAAGACTTTGATGGATTAAGTGTGGCAAAGGGCATGCGAGTCCTTCTGTTGAAGCTGAGAATACTGGAGAATACTGAAAATGCAAAGTACATCATGTTTATTTTTAGGTATTGGATATTACATATTCCGTAGTGCAAATTCTCAGAAGAACAATTTCCGGCGGAATCCAGCAGATCCCAAATTGGCCAGTGAGTACATTTTTTTATTCCATTGCCTGGGATTTTATTCAATGGCTCTTTGTAGTATTTAAATACATATTTCAGTCACTGCATTGACCACAATACTCTCTTCCCAGATCTGAAATTTATACCCACTGCAACTGGAAAAGGGCTTCTTGTCACGGGTTGGTGGGGTTTTGTTCGTCACCCTAATTACCTTGGTGACATCATCATGGCTCTGGCATGGTCCCTACCCTGTGGTGAGTTTCTGAGACTAAAGTGGATTTTAGCAAAAATGCTTTTGTTTGGCCTCTGTCTGGGTTTGAAATTCCAAGTGGTAATTATTTAAGATAGTAAACCCTATTGAATGGCAGATTTCTGTGTCATAAGTCTAATGGAACACATTTTTACTTCCATTTTACCCGTAACTTGCTGCAGATTTGACATATACTGAATATTTTGCTCATCTTTCTGACACTTTATCATTCAATAACCATGGGACTTACTTGCTAATTAGCTGTTCTTTAAATTTTTAGGCTAGTGAGTGTGTTTGTAGCTGAAGTTCCCCAAAAGTGGGAGTTTACTTGGAGACAAGGGCCACCACAAACACCACAAACAAATTGTCTTTCAGCGTGTTTGTTAGTAATACACAGTGTTCCTTGTACTGGGACCCCAGAGGTGGACACAACACTCGGGTGGGGTCTCAGGAGAACAGAGTAGTGGGTTAGAATCAGAACCTGCTGCCACAGTCATCCTGGTGCAGCCCAGAATACAGCTGGCTTTTTGGGCTGCAGTCTGGGTCCTTTCCAGTTCTTTTTGTGCACAAGTCAAGTGGTGTGCTCTGAGCAAAGCTGGACTCATGTCTGCAGCCAAAATATGGAAACCCTTGGTGTGGGGCAGTTTGGTGGTGCAGAAATTTGACTGGAAATCTGGTTTTGATAACTGAAGAACTTTAAATGACAGTAACACTTAAATATGTACTAGCTTTGCATGCATTGAGAGTGAAATTGGTAGGTTTTGTGACTCTAAATTTTAAGAATTTCTTTCTGTGGGTTTGTGGGTCTTTTTCTATCTGCATGTGTTGCACTGTCCTGTTGAATATTCAATGCTTTAGTATAAAATGCTTCAGCCTTGAACAGGAGTGAGTCACCAGCTTTGAGCATGTTAATAGCTACCACCTCTAGATTTTTGTCCTGTATCTAAGTCAACTTTCTCCCTTTGCAGGTTTTAATCATATTTTACCCTATTTCTACGTGATCTATTTCATCTGCTTGCTTGTCCATCGAGAGGCTCGTGATGAACACCACTGCAAGCAGAAGTATGGCTTGGCCTGGGAGCGGTATTGCCAGCGCGTCCCGTACCGCATATTCCCCTACATCTACTAGAGCACTCCAGGGGCCTGATGGGCAAATTATTGCTACAGATAGATTCCTTGCAGAGAGAAAGATACCTCTTACCTTTGCACTTGGTCATTTGTTATTTAGGTTTTTAAAGAAAACAAAGCAAACAAACCCCAACCAAACATTGGAGTGCGAGGAAGGTGTTACTTACTAGTAGACTTCAAGATGTGAGTTATGTGAACTGACTGTGACTTCAATTTTTAAAAAATTGTGAATTTTCAAAACTCTTTGAGCCCTAATTTTTCAAGCTAAATTTTATCTAGAATTCTGAGTTTACATTTTTTATTACATTTAATTAAGCACTGTGATGTAAAGTATATTATTTTCTTAATACAATAAATGCTGAAATTCCATCCAGTTCATTTTTTGGTTTTACTCATACCATCTAACTTGAGATGTCCAATTTAGTTGCCTGAATTGGAGGAGCAGCAGGGTCTTTTTAGTCAGTAGAGCTGGAAGCAGAGGATGTGACCGACGTGTGGGGCCTGCAGCCCCACGGCCAAAGCTGGCACAGCTCAGCTGCATGGTTGTTCCCCTCCTTTCATTGATGATTTTTTTTTTTTGGTCAGAGAGGCTCAGCTGGCCCCTCCTGCCCTGTACCTGCAGGAGGATAAAGAGATGGAATTAGGAGAAGGGGCGCATCTGTTCCTTCTCCCACCCCACATTGTTGAGGCAGTTCCAGGAATGCCCAGGGGCAGCCTGAGCCACTGCCTGGCAGTGCCCCTGGCCCTGGAGATGGAAGCCATGCTTGTGGCTCACACTCCTGGAGGGAGATAAAACACTTCACTTTCTGTGGCTGTGGAAGGGAGTAGTGAGCCCTCAGCTTGCCTCTAGCATTGAACATGGGGTAAAAAGCATGCAGTGTCTGCCTGTTAGGCACAAAAGGATAAAGTGACCACAGTTGGCTCCTTCTGATCTTTGTAAATTAAGTCTTAATGTACTATAGTGTTTACCAAGTGTGTATAATAAAGCCTCCATGTTTTTGCTGTACAGTATATGGGTTTGAAAAATGCAACAGCTTTTTTAGAAACAGGAGAAATCAGTAACTAAACCAATTTCCAGTAATTTTTAAGAAGTTAATTGAATAAAGGGTTTTGTAAATTAATGTAGTTAATTCTTGAAACAATTGAAGTGTTCATTTAAATATTTGTATTGACAGATATGCTATGAAAATATAGGAAATACTCCTCAATCCAAAGTTGTTTTTTGGTTTCTTTTTGTTTTTAATTTGGCATTGCTACCTCATACGTAGGTGTTGCCTTTTGTACTGTTGCAGATAGAGAAATAGCTATTTTTTTGCTATTGCTATTTAAAACAACATTTTTTACATGAGCCTGTGGTTAAACTCAACCACTTTCTAATATATTTTTGTATATATTTGACTTTTTCACTAATGTATGTGCTCTGGTCACTAGCTGTGTTCTTTGTCTAACTGGCTGTAAATTATATGCCCTTGTGCTATTTACTTCATAAGTAGAACAATTTTACTGAAATACTCTTGCTTAATTAATTAGCTTTTATTCTGTTGTCACAAGTAAGAGGTTTTCACACACTTTGTACATGAGGTTTATAGCACAAATTGCCCTAAAAAGCTTATTAGAATATTAAATAAACTGCAGATACTTCTGCACTTGCTTGCAGGAGTGTTTCTAATAAATTGGAATGTTATTTATCAGTTTTTTTCAGTTATTTTAAAATGATCGTGTAATTGAAATCTAGCATGTGATTTTTTAAAAAATAAAATAACCTATTTTGTACATGGGCATTTTTTAAAGATAATTGTACAATTGAAGTGTATATAATGTAGCTTGATTGTTGGTGTTGTACGGAAATTGTTTTAAGACAAGTACTTTGATTGCTGGCAGAAAATAGCAGTGCCTCTAACAAGACTCGAGAGAATTCACTCCTGTGAAGCAGCAGATTAAACTGGGATATTGCTGTTTTCAATCCTTGCTGAGTGAATTTATGGGAAATGGAGAAATCATTAAATGGCCCTGGTGTGCAGCTGGTGTTTTAAAATCTGCTGAAGGAAGGGGACACTTTGATTCCTCAGCCTGTGAAGCAGGAGCTGCTTCTGCTGCTGTTCCCAGTTTTATCTGTTGCCACCCAAGGTTGTTCAAATGTCATTTGGAGCCCTTGTCTTTCAGAATCTGATTCTGACCAATGGCAACTTCATTTACTTGCTGAATTTTATGTGACTTTGATTTTGAAGTAACTGTTTTTAATATCAACAAGCCCATGAGCTAAAATAAAGGTTTTGCTTAAAACTAAGTATTGCATTTTTTCCAGTTCATGGGGATGTCTGATAAAAATCACATTGATTTTATTTATTTAGTACAGGTGTGAGTTTACTGAAGTTCCTGTTGTACCTGTGTTTGTGTGCTGAGTGTTACAAGCTCATGTGGTGCTTCTTTTAGTCTGCCTGGGCATTTTTTTCTTCTCTTCTACTCCAAAAATAAACTTAATTTCAGCTCTAAAAACAGAATTAACACTCAATTTGCCTATAGGATATTGTATTTTCCCGCACAGCTGCTATTAGAAGTCAAAACCAATCCCAATTAGGCTGTAGGCATAAAGTGTTACTGCACAGGAAATAAATGTAAGTTTGACCTACAAGGCTGTAGTGGAAATATGATACAGGAACAGGAATGACAGTTTTGCTTACAGAAGGATATTTATCCATAGGTAATAAAAATGTTTGTTTAAATTACACTTACCAGAGCTCATGAAAACCTTACCAGAAGCACAGTTCTTGCCTCTTGGGGAGTGAGAACTGTTTGGGTGGCAAACCTTTCCTATGTGTGGATTCAGAACATACTGCACTGTCTGTACAGAACTGCTTTCTGCTGGGGAAGTTCCCTTAAATTAGAAGGAAATACTTCGATAGAGCTTTCACTCTTTTAATATTTAAAAAGAAAACAAGTGAACTTTTTAACAAGTATTTTTCAAACATACCCTCTACCTTTTTGATGTATGAATGTCAGCAATAACAGCATTACTGAAAGTCATGAGGAACATTTTGTGTCCCACTGTGGGAGTGGGGAAGCCCTTTGAAGGAAGAACTGGAAGTTGGCCAAACTGGACTGGTACTTTTTTTGTTATGTTTTGTTGTTGGGTTTTTTTTGTTTGTTTTGGTTTTTTTGTGGTTTTTTTTTTTTTTTTTTTGTGAGAGAGTGTGTGTGTATGGTTGTCATGTTCCCATCATGTCAAAATTCCATCCATCTTCCTCCTCAGAACACAATCCGGTGCTGTAGCCAAATGTTTCCAGTAATTTTCTTTCTGTACCTCGAGGTAGTTTGTTCCTCTGAGTAGGGATAGGGAATGCCAGGGCGAGGGATTACAGCAAAGCCTTTTCCTGTCTCCCCCAGCGCTGCATCTCAAGCTGCAGACGCTGGGTGGAGCAGGTTAGTTACTTGTTGCTGCATGCTCAGCTCTGATCCCAAGAACAGCACTGCCATCATCGGTTTCCCTGGCCTCTGCATCAAGGTTTGGAAGAGGGCAGCAGTTCCCTGTGTCCTTGTGCTCTCCAGTTCCCTCCTAACCCTTGGCTGAAGAAGGGAGAGATGCTCCTGCATAAACTGGGGGACAGTGCCCCCCTGGGGGACCTGTGAAATGCCAGTGGAAGGGACTCGGACTGTGCACACCGCTCAAGCTTTTCTGCCCTTCCTCTAGGACAAGCTTCCTCTTGGAGCTTCTGAGCTTCCTTATGCTGCCTTTATTCCCTGTTGGAGCTGGGTATCACCAGGTTTAGTCAGCCTGACTTGGGCCCTTCTTGCTCCTGTGTTTCAAACTGCAGAAACTTTGATGTTAATGAACTGACCAGACAGAAGATCCACCTAAACTTAAAAGGAGATGAAGTGAATTCCTGTGAAAAGAGCTGTAATAAATGATGGATCCTGAGGGATATAAGCGGAAATTAACACCCAGAGGAGGGGAACAATGCTGAACTCAAAGCCACGTTAAAATTCAAACCATTTGCTTTTGGCAACATAGCTTCCAAAAACCCCTCATATTTTAACTATTAATGGAAAAGCCTTTCTACTGGCAAGACAGATGATGTAAAAATCCAAAGCAGAACTATTTCATGTTCTTTTCTATGTGAATTTTATAATCTTGTCAAGACTGAAAGCAAACTGATCCTGCAGACAGAAGGTGAGCCCTGGAATCATACAGCAATTTCTGCATGTGTTTATGTCTGCTTATCACAGCCTGCAGGGAATGGAATCTTGCCAGGCTGGGAATTCTCAATTCCCACCAAAATAAACATTTGAGAAGTTTCGTGTGAGCAGCTGAGAGCTTATGGAAGTGCACAGTACAAAATGAAAAGCTTGTTAGCCACCACTAGTGGAAGTCTATGGTAGAAATTTAGGGCTCCTTAGCAACACCTTTTGAGTCTCAAAAGTGGGCTGCTGCTGCAGTTGAATGCCTGCACAGCAAAGAACCAGAGCTCCTCACCCATGGCCTGGTGGTCTTGTTCAGCCTGGTGAGAATTTTTTAATAAATAATCGCAGCCCAACAGGTTGGTTGTGACACATCCCCCTCTCCTCACCTCACCCCCATCCTGAATTAAACAAAATCAAAATGAAACAAGGAAAATTTTGTTGTACAGGTCCTACAGGGCATTCCTGAAACTTGTAATTTTCAGGGTTCACTTCCTTCAAGTTAAGGAGGTAAAAAGAACAATTTTAATGTCTCCTGAGCTTTGGACAAAAATGCTGATCTTAATCTCTGAACCTCAAGTAAAAACATTGTTATAATGAGAAAAAGAGATAAAAACATTGTTGTAAACATATGTTCCCACACTGACCTAAAGAAATACAGATATTTTTCTTAAACATAAAGACTAAAATTATAATTCTCATTTTTATTTTAATAGCAAACCCACACATTTCCAGTCTCACTCCTTACCTCCCTGCTTAACGTGTTTTTATGTGCTCAGTTCCTTAGATGAAGTTGGTATTTTACGGAGCACTAGAAAACAAAAATTGTCCAGCATCCTCTTAATTCTCCTGAACAATCAAAGCTGTAGTTTACTGCAAACATCATTAACTTTGGAAGAAAGGGCCTGGTTTTATAATTTGAGCCACATTAGCTGTACCTTATGAAGTCCTGCACTTTTGGCTGCAGTTCTCCAAATGATATTTCATGGTCCAGACAATTTACAGCAATTTTTGCCTGTAATGAGCCATTATCTGAGCTGTAAAAATCTGCTAACCAAGCATCCTCTGTCTGAAATTGTCACCTATATACAACTGTAATGCATAGTCCCTGTTTATCTACATGGCTCCAATAGCTTATACATGTGTAAAGTACATATTCTGTTGCATTCATTAGTACTTCTGATAACACATGTCTATACTCAGAGATTTAATTAGGGGGAAAAACAAAAAAGAGAAGTAATACAAAAATCCAATCTATTCCAGTATAATAATTTTATTAAATATACCTGGTGTTGCTTTATGCCATTTAACAAACGGAACCAGATGAAATGAAAGTAACTATTTCCTCATGACATTATGAAAACTCCTCATTAATACTGAAATTATAATTATGCTATAGATAACATGGCTTACTGAATTACAGCAATATGGCATTTTCTGTACTGTGTTTAAGATTGCATCAGGTCTCTCCATGATAGATTTCTATTTTGAGAAACTACAGAATATTCAATGAGGCATTGATTCCATGGATATTGTTGCCTGAAATTTCTGCCATCAAATTAGTCCTGTGTTGTGCCTGTGTGTACTGTTACAGAAATACATGATTTTCACAGCTTCTTCTAAGTGAAATAAGTGAGAAAAGAAGAAAACACCATTAAAAAAAAATCCCACCAACAAAATCAGCTTCTAAGTAGTAACGGATTAAAATAGCAACAGGCAGAGAACCTGTGAAATAGATGCTGAAATCTTAAATCTGCCTGGTTCTCCCAGCCTGCCTCTTCTCATAAAGGTCTTTGTGCTTCACACCTGATTGGTGCAATTGGCTTATTCTCAGCTGCTGTGTCAGGGAGTGTCCTGCAGCGTTCCTCCTACATCAGGGAAGTATCAGCAGGGGTCAGGAATGTGGTGTGTGGTCATGAAAAATAAGTTGAAGTTGGTCTCTGTTCAGTCTGACAGGATACATGTTTGTCACTGGGTTTGGATAACTGCAGCAGTGGCAGGCCTCATCGTGCTGGGACAATACACATTTAATAGCAACATCAAAGTTTACAAGATTTAGTAACCCAAAATAATAAAAGGATGACCAAAATGTTCATATTTTAGAGAAAATGGACATAAGGATGAGAAGAGCTGTTGTCAGTACCTGGATGAGGAAGAAGTATTGTTCATATAGAAGTGTATATCCAAATATCTCTTCTGTGGTAAAAGAGCAGCAGTGGTTCCTGCTGAAAGGTTTTTACTTCCTAAGCAGAATTATTAGGTGTCTATGGAGTTGAGGAAATTAACTTAAGCTGGAGCTGTCCAGGAAAAACCAACAACAAATTCATTCTTGATTAAAATAAAGATAAAATTCAGAGTCCACCATAGGGAGAAACTGAGGATGCATCCAGAGAATAATCTGATCCCATATGAGCATATCAGCAACAGAAGAATGGATTTGTTTTTGCTGCTTTGAAAGAGGCAGAATCAAGTAAGGACACTGGTAAGTGAAGTAGGAATGAAGGGCTTCCCCATGCTGGCCAGGAGAAGTGAATTTGCATTTCATGATAAGAGAAGAGACCCTAAACCAGTTTGTCTTGGCTGAGGATGCCCCCAGGGATCTCCCTGTGGTCAGGTCAGAAATGTTTCTTTCCATCTTCAGGCGGGTTCTGAGCAATGTGATGGAGATGAACCTTAGCACAGCCAGTGAATACTTGCCCCAGTTTCAAGCTGCCCGAAGAGAACTCAAGAGGTGAAAGGACCTTCCCGAACATCCCAAAACCCATCCCATGTGGTCATTTAACTGCGCTTCTAAAACGACACCTCTGGGCTTCTTTCCAGGTGTACTGTGGCAGTTTAAATCACAAAAGGGAGACAGAGTGCCAGCACCCTGCCAGGACCAAAGCACTGGGTAAAACTAGTCTTGATTACTGTGAATTCAGGTTTGGCTTGTTAAAGCTGTGTGGGAGCACATTACAAATTAGCAAATAAGTGGAGTTTCAAGTGGCTTCTTTGCAGTTTCCATCTGCAGTCACACTCTACTAAAAAAAATTATCAGTTCCATTTTTGCCTGTGCTCTTCTGAATGAACCTTCACTGGTGCACAGAACTCCTTTTAATGATCTTGTAATGTGTTTGCACAAGCCACTTATACCAGGGAGAAATTCTCTAATGAAATATGTAAATCTTAGTACTTCCCAGCATCTGACACTAAAAGATAAGGAATGCCTTTAAAGGATTTTGCCCTGTTGCTATAAAAAGATAAAGCAAGGCTGGTACTCAGGATATGACAGTGAGCTCCTGCAGTGGATTCACAAGGAGAAATCACAGACAAATTAATTTTGTGACTCACTTGGAATACAGACACATGCAAGGTGCTTGGAAGAGTCCTGAGAGATATTTCAGCCTGGAAAAAAAACCAAACAACCCGCTATAAAAAAATCAGTTATCAGGGATTGGAATTTTTCCTTCTTAGGAAATATAATTGCTTTCAAAAGTACTGATGAAGATTGATCATGAGGTCCAAAGTTAAAGTCAACTAATGATATTATGTAACAACTTCACTTGTCAAAACACCCATTTAGGCAGCTTCATGGTGACTTCTGTGCCATATGCAAAGTCAAAAGTTAAAACAGAGCTGATAAACCACTTCTCTTTCTTTATTATTTTATTATATCTGTAACATTCCACCACCATCACTGACTTAACCGGCAAAAAATTGTAGATGTCAAGTTTGTTTTCTCAACTCTGTTAGGATTCTTTTATCGTTTCCCAAATGACAAGAACTTTTATAACTGCTGAAAACATTTTCAATGTATTCCTTACCAAAATTACAGCTAAGTAGGATAAATGAGATTTTAAATAACCATTTGCACTACCATTTGCATTGTCACCTACGTTAATTTATCTTAGCAGACCATAAACCAATATTTCTTAAGATTTCTGGCACCATTCTGTGACAAAACATAAGATACTATAGAATCAGCTGGCTGCAGAGTGAAATTTTAGTGATTCCAAGTGTCACTTTAAACAACTGTGGTTTTCTGTATGTAGGTAGGAATTGGTCCAGGTCAACCTGTCGTATTTATTTATTCTCATATTTATTTAACCTCTGCCTGAAGTTAGAGAAACAGAACTCACAAACCCCAAAAGCCATTGTTTCTGCTGTTTTTCCTCTCGTGTTGGTCAGAAGCAGGAGATCCAGCAGAGACTTTCAGAGCCTTTGGAAGTGGAGGTGGGAACGCTGTGGGTTTGTCTGTCCTGTGGTCAGGTCACAGCAAGAGCCTTTAGGCCTTTGCTGTGTTTCATGTCCCAGAGAGAGGCAGGAGAAGGAGCTGGGATGAACTCCCAGCTAACCCTGGATTTCTCCAACACACCGGGGCTCTGAGGACTCACATGAAGAAATAGGAAAAGCTGCTTATGATGAGGAACAAGCAAAATACAGATGATTTCTGCTTTACCCTTTCAGCTAACTTTGACCACAGTGCCATTGCAGGAACCCTTTGACACTGATCATTTTTGGATTTAAGACCCAAAGAAGTGAAGTCATTTATAACCCCATGATTTTACATACATGTCTAGATGCAAATGTGAAAGCAAAAACTGTAATTCTCATTGAAAATCTGATTTCAAATCCGAGTGTTTTTCACAGCTTCCAGCACCAGTATTTTTTATTTGGATACATTGGACCACATGAGTTGTTAAGCACAATTTGGAGAAAAGTTATTAGAATTTAATAATCTACTGCTTTGTGAACCATGTTCATCAAGCATAAAAAAATATCCATCAAAGTAGAAACCATGGCTGATGTAACCCAATTCTCTACCTATTCTCAATCATGCTATTAATTTGAGTATCACTGTGTCTAATCCTTATAATGACAGATGTGGTTTGTGGAAAATGATCTGACACTGGATTTGAAAATAGAGAGAGAATTACTTATTGGATTTTCTTCCTGAATGTACAAAATCATATGCAGAGAGAAGGCTTTAGGAACCAATCGTGCATATTAATTGAAGGCTTTGGTATTTGAAAAATTGAATAGCACAGCAGAAACACAATAATACTGATGAGTGACATGTAGTATGTTTCATATATAAAAAAAAAGAAGGGATAGTTCTTCAAGTACATCATGCACAAGATGATTAAAACAAAATTATTGGGTTTTTTTTGGCCACTTTCTTACAAAGTGTTTATGCAAAGCAGAAAAGCATCTTCATACTCATCCTCTGATCCCAAAACACCTGTAGTTGCCAAAGTAAATGCAAATAGATATGAAGATTTCATGATAATGACTGCAACTTACCAGGACACTTTTCCAGACTTTTTTCCCCTCTGAATTGATAAAACAGGAAAAAAAAAATCAATAATCTTCAAATATTTCACTAACATACTGTAATAAACTGCAAGAAACTGACATACATTACAACTTTTCAATACATTTAACATGGTTTTATAAAAATATACAGTAATTGGGTGGTATTTTTGGAATATTAGAAGCCAAATGGAGTACAAAACATTAAATCACTGTTAAGAGCAAGGGGGTAAATAATTTTGCAGTCGTGCTACTGAAATTTAAAATGCATGGAACCCATGGGTTATGATATAATTAACTTTCAGTTCAAACAGGATCGGTTTCATGGGTGCAGAATCCAATTTTGAAACTTCTGTAGAATTGTCATTTATGGTAAAATATAAGCAGAGATCCAGGATCTCCAGTGATGTTCTTGAGCCTCCATGTGTGGCTTAGGGTCTTAAAGAAAATCCTGCAGCTACATCTGGGCTTCACCTTGGTTGTCTCCCAGCACACTTTGCAATCTTTGAATATCAAGGCTACCTAGAAGGTGAATCTTGAATGAAAACAAGACTGACTCAGCTGAAATTGCCAGATGCCATTTAAATGTTTACTGCCTGCTTAGTTTGTCCAACACCACCATCAGAGACTTCCCAATCTCCTCTTGAGACAGAGAAATGTCTGCAATTTTTTTTTTTTTTTTGTGGTTATATAAAAAAGTTTTTCACTCTCCAAATTTCTTTGAAGCAAACTGTTAAGTCTGTGTCACAATTCTGTGGGGCTTTTAGCAGGTTTTTAACACAGAAGGGCTCCCATCCTTTACAGTTTGGTACTATTAGTGAAAAAAACGGAATATTTTTCATCGTATCTTTAAATATATTTACAATTTGTGTAAAAATACATATATGGCTAAGCTTTTAAGTAAATGCTTGTTGTTAAAGATTCCAAAAGGACCACTAACAAATACAAGTAAACAGACACCAGTTCCTCAAAGTCACTGCATTAATATTTACTCTGTAGTTTCAACCAGTAAATGGAAGAAAAAACTGGAACAAGACCAGATTTAATCATGCTGCCTCTTTGCTACAACATTTAATTATCCCTCAGGGCATTTTGATTGTTTTTCATAGGGGTTAAACAATAAAATTGCTGCTGCATCATGACACTGTAAAGAAAAAGCAGAGCAAGAGCTGCAACACTGAAATATGTCCTTGCTATCAGTGCTGTTACTGGAATGTCAGTTTTGTCTTTTTTCTTCATGGATTTGGCAATAGTTTTGCTCAACCCAGGATTGTAATCACAGAAATCTGCAAGTGTAAAATTGTGATGGAATAAGAGACTGTTAAATTTTTAAAAACCCCTGCATTTATTTGTTAGAGCAAAGTGGGAAAGCATAAAAACCTGAAAATCAAAAATGTATTTGACATTAACATTTTGGTGACTCTTACAGTTTCAGTGTTTTTTCTGCCCTTTACCTTTAAAATAATAACCTATTTTTAAAAATGCACATACATTTATCACAAATATATGTGATAGACACAAAGAGCTCACAAGCAGCAGCATTTGTCTATAACTTAACAGTCTTATTGGTATTTCAAGTAAATTATAAATCATTCTTTGTTCCTAAAAATGACTGTTCTACCAATCACCTATTTGATAGCTCAAAGAATGTACAGAAAACCACACTTTATCAGAGCAAATAATGCCTTTAGTATGCTTCTTTTACAGAAAACCACTTTTTTCTAATGCTGCTTTTAATTGAATGCCATGACCTAAGAGAGATGAGACACATCATAAAATGAAGATGTCATATTTGTCTCTGTCAAAAGAAAAAAAACTTCATTTTAACAGTTTCAGGATTTTAATTTAAAAATTCACTTGTCAGAAAAATCTTTTTAAAAGCAAATGAAATCCTTCTGCTGGGTTTCCTGCTTGACAAGAGAATTCAACCTTTAAATTTAGTACATGTGATATTTCAGTCATAAACAGCCTTTTTCAGCTTTGCTTCATTACAGTCGATCAAAGTTGCTGTTGGAGCTAGACAAGGTCCATTAACATATTTGCTGAAATAATTGTTGTATCCTTCTAACTTTGTTAGTTTTACTACATATAACACACTTTATAATAATATTTCTCAATTTTGGACACAGTATCTGAATAAGACCGAAAAAATAAAAGAGAAAAATGGACCTCTTGAACCACTAAATCAAGTCTGTCCCAGACTTGGAAATGACAGGAAGGACATAACCATTCTGAAAACTGTAGTAGGTGGAAGGGACCTTAGAAGATTGTATGATCTGTTCTTCAGGTAGAAGCACTTTGACCTATAATTTAAAAAAAAAACATCTTATTTTCTCAAAAGTATTCTCTCTATGTAGGGATGCAGTGTAAGTGTATTTTGAAGAACTCCAGCCATTGGTAATAACTTTCTCTACTCTAAGTATTACTCTTTATAATATTATTCTTCATATTTCGTATATTCATTCTATATTAGGTGATACCAAATGCCATAAAGGCAAAATGAATTAGAGGGAGGTCTTGGAACTGTGTACAAACATAAACCTTGACACCCTTTTGGCCAGCACAGCACTGACCCTGGCTGACACATTGATTACTCGAGGGGAGCTGAAATCCAGATGGTTTCTCTGGATCTAATTAGGAAGGAATGAACCCCCAAGACACAAGAGACTGAAATCAGCATTTGCCACAGCCTGAAAGGGAGGCTGAGCAGGAAGCTGGGAGAGCTGTCTCTGGAGCTCAATGATATAACCTTAAAATGTCATGACATTAAATTCAGATCTGGCAAAAAGCTTTTGATAACGTGTGAGTCTGAGCTTAAGAAATCAAAGGAATAAACTCAGTGTGTTTGGTTACCTGAGTCGTTCTTGTGTGGCTGTGACCTTTCCCTCACTGCAATTATTAATCACAGTGAGGAGAAAGCACAGGAAACAGGAAAATATCAGTAATTTTCAATATCTGCCATTCAGATATTTGGCACAGAGCTCAGCAGGTAACCTGTCAAATTCGGGGCACAGTTTATGAGACGGTCCACTTTATTCTTCCTAGAAGTGCTGAAATCATCCTCTTCTGGAGGAGGGATGCTGTTTCTAAAGCCAGAGCACACCAGCAGCAGCCTCCTGCCAGGTGGCTGTGAGCACAAAAGGAGGGACTGAGGCATGGAAGCCTTGGCATCAGGAGCTCTGTTGTCCTTTTTGCTGCAGGGTAGCCCAGGTTTGGAGCAAGCCTTCTGTCAAGGGTGCTCTCGGGCTGCCAGAGCTGCCCCACACTGCACAGACTGGATAAAACTCTCTTTTCTGCCATTCTCAAGCACCACTCAGCCACCTGCAGTCACAAAGGACCCCGTAACCTGAAGACAGAAAGGTTTTGTTCTGCCCCACTTAGTTATTATTGAGCACCCTATGTACAATTCAGAATATGCAAATATTTTTTAGAAGAACCAGTTGCAAAGTCTAATTATTCTGAATGCCTAATTTCAGCATTCTTGCCTGAAGTATTTCCCATCATCTTGTGGGCTACAGCTGTCAAATGGCAAAAAACCCCCAGCTGTTGGAGGTAGAAAAAGTTATATAATTTAGACTGCTAATTCTGGCCTGTGCATTGAATCTGTAGAACCACACCCCTCCACTAAATTTATAGAAAAAAAACAACAAACAAACCAATCCATAACAAAGTAAGTGCTATTAATCTTGTCATTTAAGTTGCTAATTATAGTTAGACAATGTTTCCTCTTCACACACATCTTGAGTGAGCTGTAGAAATTTCTGTCAAATCATCATACACACAAAACTGCATGGCCAAAGAATCATTCTGCAAATGGACAGGATTCAAATAAATGTTCCTCTGCATTCCTTAGTAATAGCTGGAATATCCTTTTCTCCATATGCATCACTTCAGCAATTTGATTTTCAAAAAATAAGTGCAAGAATTAGTAATCCTGAACCACAATTCTCACGTTCGTGTTTGAGTTCCTGTGATGAGCATCATAAAAGCTCATCACCAGGAAAAGTCCTGGCAGATGTGCACATTTCTTGTGGTCACACATTTCAAGGCTTTCTTTCTACTATGTAAGCTACTAGCTCAGGATTCTGCACCCTTTCTAGAGGCTTCCTTGAACTGAGCAGTAATGTGGAAAGCACTGCCTGGCGCTGAATTTTCCAAGTGAAAATACATTAGGAGCTTCTTATTCTCATTGCAGTCCTCTACAGCAGACTGGATGGCTGGAGCAGGCAAAGGATCCAAGCTGCTGACCTCATCCAGGCTGGGAAATTCCCCCGTGGTTGAAATAGTACAGTCAGGAACCTTTACTTTGAATTTTGTTTCTACAAGTTTTGTAACAGTACAGTCAGGAACCTTTACTTCGAATTTTGTTTCTACAAGTTTTGGCAAAGGTGGAAACAGAGATTGGGGCAGAACAGGATTATCTGGATCATGACTACAGATGCTGGAATTCTGGGGTCCCAAAAGATACAGCCAGCTTTGGGGAGGCTAATCATTAAATTATTAGGGACCAAAATGAAAATAAGCTCTCAGGTCTGACCAAGTAACACTGAGATCCACTAAGAAAACAAAATAAAACCTTACAGGCAATCTTAGCACTCCTCATAGAAAGGAGAAATATTTCTACATCCATTTTATGTAAGAAAGAAACTGTTCAGGTGCTTGCACTGCCTACATCTATGCCTAAAAATGTACAACATGGCAAATACCTGCAGCTTTCTGAAGATGAAATATTGATTCCATTCTAATAAATAACAGAAATGCAATAGCTCTTTGGTGGCACAATAGGCTGATTTATTAGATTAACTTTTAATTTGGAAGAGCAACCTCCAAAATCATCTCATGTGATAGTTGAAAGTAGGTTTGAATCGATTGATCTGTGAAATTTCTGCAGCTAATCTGGTTAACAAGTCAACATTAAGTTATGCAGGACTCAAACACTGAACAGCTCACTTGGGAAATTGGGCTCATTCCATTACAGGAGCATCTCAAGCAGAATCTCTACATTGCAACAAATTGTGATTTATACCATTATATATTTATACACACAAACACAAACACCCCTCCTGATTCAATTTTGGCAAGTGCTTGCAGATTTTCCACGAGGTCACTTCCAGGGTGTCCTCAGGATGTCACACCCTGCTCATTCTCCTTTGCACCTACTTTCCTAATCACAGCCACCACAGGGTGTGGGATTGATGCATATTTATATGGCAACGCAGGATGGGCAAACCAGCTAAAAGGAAATGTTGATGTGGTATTTCTAGCATTGTTCTTGAATGTAAAATTCACATAAATACATGTTACTTTATTTACTTGGAAAACTCTGTTTCATAATTCTGCATGAACCTGGAGTTTGGTTTTGTTTCTGCAAAGTCACCCTAATAAAGCTATAAGCAGTAAATATCCCAAAACTTTATGGGCAAAGCAAACTCAGTATCTGATTTTTAACAAAAAACTGTAAAAGTACCAAAGACTTTTTTGTAAAATCATTCAATTTGCAGTCTTCCCTCTACCTGTAAGGCCAAAGAAATATTATACCAACAGAAGTCTGAAAACAGATTGCGAGTGCTAATTAAGGTGGTATTGAAAGACCATCCAACACAAGCTTTTCCTTTTATTTTATTGAAATCAGTGTCTTGAAACAATTCTGAAATTAATCAGGTAAGAGTATCTACAACTCCCTTCCAGTTCTCTTTTGGAAAAAAAAAATTTCAACCCCCACCCATTGGAAAAAGTTTTAAAAAAATTCAACTTTTTTGCTTTTTCTTACTTCAATTATTGGTTTTGCCACCTTCTTTTTTGGGGCCAGGATTGGGCAATTTTGGGAAAAAAATTTGCTAATTATAAACAGAAATGGCTTAGGTATAAAATGCAATAAATTAAGAAAAACAATTATTTCAACACACAGGTCCAAAATAACATATAAATGCCTTAAGCTTTCAGACCTGCACAGTAGTCTCAAGTCTATTCTATACCTACATTGTCAGAAAAAAATGCCTGATTAACATTTTTCTGCAAAAAAACCCAGCATTCCCAATCTCCCAAAAAAACCACTTAAACTTTTCTCCTCTTTTACGGAAAAAGTTTGGAAAGAAAAAGCATCACAGAAGAAATATTAGTTTTTAATCATGGTTTTTCTGAGCTCATGCCTCTAATGCATGGCATTTTCTTTGTTAATAAGTCTTAATATACCTTAATGGCAGAAATTTAAATAGAAAAATATTGTTGCTGGCAGTAAGCTGTGTGTATGTAAACTAATAAAGCGAAGATAAGCGAAATTTTGATGTTAACGTGCACTGGATTCTAATGAGAAGGTACGAAAATCTGAAATTGTGACTGTTATTTGCTAACCCCTGCATGTGCTTTCAAAAAAGCACAGGTAAGAATATAATGACTTATTGATTTCATATGGAGACAGGTTCCAAAATTGTATTGCAAAACTCCATTAACTTCTCTGCCTGGGCTGGACAACTACAAACAACAGAAATTGCTCTCCTTGCAATCCTGCATGTATGAATTTCTAAGATTAAAGAAAATGTACACAGTTAATTATTTCAAAAGTGGTATTTCAAAACCCACCTACAAAGCAACATATTATGTTTTACTCAGATTTCATTAAAAAGTCTTCATAAAGAGGCAGAAGTTTCAAAGTATAGGTCACCTTTGAAAATGTGTGAAAAGGTGTACTGTTATTCCTGAAGAATTCATTCCTTCTGTGATGTAGTGAGCTATTACATTAGAAAGTTACAATATGTCCTTGAATAAGTGGGTTTTTTTGTTTGTTTGTTTGTTTTGGTTTTTTGTTTTTGTTTTTTGTAAATTTGAAGTTTGCAACGAGGAGAAGAATAACATCTGATTTCACAGAATATGCTGAGTTGGAAGGGACTCACAAGAAACCACCCAGTCCAGCACCTGTCCTTGCACAGGACACCCCAGGAATCACACCATGTGCCTGAGAGCATTGTCCATACAACTCTCATCTCCCGGAGTATCTATCACCCAGAGCAGAAAGGAAGTTTCTACAGTGTTTAAATATCTAGGTATATTTGCTATGAAATTAGAAAAAAAAAATTTGCAACGTAAAACACAAACATGGGGAGACTGCTGAAAATAAGCAAGAAACAAAAATCTCAGGCAATGACAGGGAAAGTGAGGCATTCTGAAAGATAAATTTATGGAACACTATGGGAATTTGTGATGATAATGAAAGGGGGAAATGGAATGCAGCGCTTTTATCACTTGCAATTCCTCACTCTCCCTGGGATTTCTCCTTGAAGTGTCATAGAACATGGATCCATAGGCCAACCTCTCTTGTGGAATGCACAGGGTCACAAATAGGGCACATACAGTGTAATTTTAGTCTTAACTCATGCAGAACCACAAATATATCAGTAATTCTGAGATTACATGAGGAGGAGAAGAGCAGGAAATGTAGACATAACCAGCTTCACAAAATAAATTTACTGGCCATAATTGCTACGAGTGATGTGCTTTTGCATGGTGGATGATTCCAAAAGGAAGCCTTTGGGCAGTTGTGCTGGGCAGCTGGTTCTGGAATCCGTCACAGAAATAATGGTGGGACCACTCTGTGGAGCTCTGCATCTGGGCCAGATGGCTCAGGAATGGTGCAGCATTTAAAGAAGGTTTTTAGTCACATGTGCTGAAAAACCTAGACATGAAATGATAGATCAGGACTCTGTAACTGGAAGGGTCTGGGGTGACTCTGCCTTATTTCTCATGTATTAAAGAGAAAAGGAAGTGAAACACCAGTGTGCCTATCACAGACAATCCCAATAAAAACTCTTGACAGATTAGACACTTTGCATGTTCACTTTCTGAATTTCATAAAGGCTATCATACAAACCTCTTTGAGAAAGAATCTTTAACAGCACACAGTTCAGAGTGCCAAGCACACATTAAAAATTTCCAATGACAGAGTGCCAAGCACACATTAAAAATGTCTAATGCCATCGCTGTCAAGAAGCAGCATTTGATTTCAAAGTATCGCTGAATTTTAAATGCGAAATGCAATCACATAACATATTCTCATTTATCTCCATCAGCGTTTTTATTTTACCAGATATAAATCCATTCAGCTGAAAGAGATGTGAAATAATTTCTTCAACTTTATTATTGACAGACAAATGGAAGACTGTCAAGACACAGAAGGCAGCCTTCTGATAGTTAAAGCTTTTGACTTTGATCATGTGGATGTGCTCTTCAGTAGCCGTTCCTACAACTTACAGCAGAGCATTTATACACTTACCTGGAATGTTCTTGAAGTCTTCTGAAGTCACTTCTTTTAGTAGTGTTGATTTTGATGCTTGCAATTATTCACCATGCTGAGATAATAATATAAACTCTCTGCTGAATGATTCTGCTTGTGCCGTTCCACTCGAAGAGACAGAGGAGCTGCTATCTGCAGATTGAACATTGCAAGTAGAAAAAGCTGTAAATTTTATTCTACGCATTAAAAATGTCTAACTTTAACTGCAACCAATTGTCTACTAAGAATTTTTAGGACTTTTTTGGGTAAGGACCACATTAATTCCATATTCTATATGCAATTGCAGTTCTTGAAGGGTGCACGGTCCTGTGTAAGGTGAGATACAATAAGCAACTCTATTTCCAGTAATTACTTAAACACTCTCTAAACTACTTCAGCTCTGAAAAGCAGAGTTGTCAGAGAGGCAAAATCCTATAAAGAGCGCACAAATGTGTTTTCTTACATTTTTTCCCACTTGTTATTCTGTGCAATCATTTTAAACTACTTCAAAGACAGCCTGAAAATTCTTGGTTTATGGTATCAACATTTTCAGCATTGCTTCCTCTTGGGGTCTCCTTTGATGTTTTGTTGTTATAATGTTAACTTTTCAGGATTGATATTGCTTCACTTTCTGCAGCAGCACACAGACTTCTGGGACTTAAATGTAAATTTTCTGAAATTAGCTTCTGCAGTTCAAGCCCCATCACCACTTGAGATGCATTTCTTAATCTTGTGACGCATGCAATGTTTTGGTAGAATAAGTCTGTTCCTACAAGTAGCTCCCAATCTGGTCATGGATTCAGACATTGTTTTCACTCTTTTTCATTTTAGCCTCCATAGTAAAGAACCATGACATGGGTTCCTGTAGAGCTCCTCAAACCAGATGGAGAAGGTTCACACAGCAAAAACTCCAACCTGGTCTCTTGGGGAATTTTAACAAGAAGTTGCAGTTACTCTGCAGTAAGTATCTTTTCCCTTACATAATCTCCTATTCTCTGTGCATCTTCTCCATATAAAATGAACATTTTGGTCTGGAGAAACATTCAGGGTACTGGCTGTACTGTGAGTGTTATTGAACCTTCAGCAAACCATATGAAAATGAAGTTTTCTTCCTTCCCAGATCAGTTCCTTCACTGCGAAATAAAGGTGGATGACATGGGTTGTACATAGGTCTGTTGCTGAAGCTGCATCACAAGATCACTGTGTTTACGCAAGGGATTCAAATAATTTAAATATTTCACTGTAGATGGAATGAGTTTTTAAAAAAACCCAGTCTAGAGAGCCATAGTAAGCAGGGGTAGCAGATACCTAATTCACACATCTTTAAAAACTACCCTTAGGAGCAAATCACAACTTCAAAATTCAAAATAACTGAGACTGTTGCACTCAAGACAGAAGATGTTCTAAACAAGAACAAAGAATGACGATGGAAGAGGAGGAGGCAGAGCAGCTGAATGACTGCTCCTGAAATGTTATACCCAAAAGAGAAGTGACACAGGAAAATCCATGCCATTCATGGATTTTCAATGACGAAATTAACTGCACTGAAGTTGTTACAAAAACTTTGATATAATGGAGTTGTAAACAGAGAAGGAGAAAACTTGCAAAACCTTGTATTTCCTTCCTGATCTTATTCTTGTTACAGGGGTAAAAGAATTGCCTCTAGTAAGGCTGCAGGTGGTGTTATTTTTATTTTAGACTAAGTAGAAATATTCCTTAAACACTATTTAAAAGTACACAACATTCCTATGAATTTCAAAATGGAGGAATTTTGGCTGTTTCATGTTTGCTGGTTTTTCAGAAAAATGGTGTCAGAAAGATTTGAACAACAGAAATGACAGAAGATCCTAGTTTTCATATGCAGAGCTTCCTCCAGTGATATTTCTGACAGACCTTAACTTTCTTTGTTATAACATATCTTAATTTTGACTTCTATATTATTTCAATATTGTGGAAATTTTTAAAGTGAAAATGTAGGAGAATCTCAACTGATAAAATCATATCTTGTTTGGAAGAAAATTATTTGATATTTCTATTTGTACTGACTATTTTCTTTTTAGCAGGTGTGGTTTTTTTTCTAAAGAATTCCTTTGACTCTATTTTTACTTGTAGAACTTTTTTCCATTTGTCAAGTTCTTTCTGAAATCTGGAAGAATCTGTCTTTATTTCTGAAAAAGGGGTCTTGTCAGAGTAATGGGAGTTTTTCTGGTGAAGTTCCCATTAACAGACAGCCTGCTCAGCCAGGTCACAGATGAGAATAATATCCACTGATTAAAGATTTTTTCGTCAGATATTCTGATAGTAGCTTTGCAAGTAGGCAGACTGCTATGAAACCATGCTTAACAGAAACAGACTTTTCTTGTGTTTATTCATCTGGAATTGTGCTCCTTCTAGATCAATCCCTCATGGCTGACGAGGGGGCTAAAACAAATGGTCAGCAAAACAGAGCTTAGCAGAGATTCCATAGAGGAGAACAAATGCTGATGCTCACAAGTAAGTCCTGAGCTGGAGCAGAGTGTGGCTGATGTGGCACTGCAGGGCACCGTGACCAGCCTGGGCAGGATGTGGCCAATGCAGAACTGGAGCAGTCTCTATAAATAACAGCTCTCTGGTCACCAGCAGTGGCATTATCAAGGCTGGAACAACTCTCCCCACATTCTCCAAGAAGAACAGTCAGAGGCAGGAGAGCTCTGAGGTACCAAAGGATGTCCTGGTGGCTTTTACCATCAGCTGCTAACGGGCCCTTGGTGAGCTGCCCTTCACATCAGTCAGGCCATCCAAGATTTACACACCTTGAATATAAAAGGCAGCAAGGGAGATGGCTGGAACACCAGTGCTACTTTGCTTTATAAATCCCTCATTTATTTTGTTGTCTAAAGGTTTTAATTTTTTTTTTTTTTAATGTGAAGGACAGTTTCTTAATGCTTATGAAAATCCTTAAGCAATTAAATATAGAACTTTTTCCAAGAGGTACAGTCTTATGTTCTACCCTAGCAAGTCCAGCTAGCTGCAAAGTGTTTGGTCTTTCCTGCAATATTTGTTTTGTTTTTTTTTTAATTTACATAAGATTCCATTAAACTCTCTCTACTCTTTGAAAATAATTTATGTAAATCTCAGAAAATTTTGTCTGTATTAATATCACCACTCATTCAATGGTATAAATAACTGTAGCCATGAGTAATCCAAAAGCTGAGAATTTAGGACAACTGAAACAATACCAGAAATTCCTGTGTTTTATAGATAATTCCTTTAAAATAACACCATTAAAATATGTCACATTAGGTAGCAGGAGGGACTTAGATGATGAGAAGCAGCACTGGATTTTATGCCTTTGGCAGTAGCACTGGGGTATCCAGAGGGAGGTTTTCTCCTTGAGAGATGCTCTGGTCACAAAATCTAAGTGGGCTAAGACCACAGTCTCTTGTTTTTTATAACAGAGCCATTACATGGTCTCCAAATCAAAAAACTTTCTTCGGGGTTGTGATTTGTGTGTGCACCTTGGTGCAGGGGAGAGAAGACAGTGAACAGCCAACATCCAATTCAAATGTATTTGCCTTTCATTACCTGTGTTTGAAGTATTCTTGTTAATGACTTTAAAATGAGGATTGGCACAACCAAGTGTTATTTACTGCATGAATTAACTTCAAAGAGCTTGCCTTACATAACATTTAAGAAATATAAAGAATTTGAACAAGTCCAACAAAAAAAACTTTAAAATTGCTTTCCTTAAAGCATAAAGATAGTTTATGGAAGGGTTAACATCTAAGGGCATACGATTTCAGGATATTAAAACATTTCAAAAGACAAGTCTGATTTTGATTGAACATACTAAAAATATTCCACAGTCAGATAATTTAAAGTGCCCCAATTAAATTTTGATGAACTTGCCACCTACAAAAAATCTGTTATCAGGGAAAACACTTTGTACCTGCTAAGCATTAATGTATGAATTAATAAAAATGGTTCTGACTAATACCAAATAAAGACAAAAAATTCTATTTTTCAGAAGCTGATGCATCATCTATTACTTTTAATGATGAATTCCATAACTGTCAGACTTTCAGATTTTATGCAATTAAAAACTCTGTTTACTCAAATGCTTTTCCTATTTCAGTAACTTTGATATCAGGCAGACAGAGTCTGACAGTCTATGCCTTTTCCTCTTGTCTGTTCAAGTGAAAGAAGTCCAGCAGCCTTTCCCTGTCCTTTACCCCCCCTAGATACAAGTGAAAAACATAACCCACATGCTTTCAGCACAGAAAGGAATCTCTTCCTAACACAAGGACTAATTAAAAATCTGTCAGAGTGATCTCAACTATAGGATACATTTCCACTATAGGGGAAAGCAATCTCTTGTGAAAAGTTAACAATGTCTTCTTTATCATCAAACCTACACAGTACAAATATTACTTACATGCTGATAAAGGATAGTCCTAAGGAGAATGAATAGCTGAAGTGTGATGGGATTTTAACTCATCTCAACATAAAGATTTCATTCCATCTTCTCATTCAGCCCATATTCGTCCTGGATTCAGTGCAACCAATCTCATTTACAATGCAACACTGTATTATTTTCATCTAATTTACAGCAAAAATCCCTAGTCATAAAGCAGAATCTATGTGTTTGGCACTAGATAAACATCAAAATAAAGCTCAGGTTTCCCCAGATTAAAATTCAAAGCTTCTACACAGCAAGATGACAGGACCTTAAAAATTTATCAGAGTAAGTCTCCATGCTGTTATCAACAGGTACTCCGGCATTTGTATGATGGTCTTTGTTGATTTATAAAGGGAAATAAGACAAAAATTGATGAAGTGTACAGCAGAAGATCAATCAATCTTTAATTCTTTTCCCAGAAAAAAGCTACATTGGTCTCGTTCATCTTCCTTCCTCTGACTCTGTTTTTCCAGACCAGAAAGTAGTTTTTCATCCCAGGAATAGCAGAAACAATTCTTTAGGCATGTAGATGTTGCAGGCTGTCACGACAGCTCAAGAGCAGCACTTGGGCTGTTGGGAGACAGGTGCAGGTCCATTTGGCCAGCTCCTGCTTTCTAAACCTGCTCCAAACATTCCCTCCACTGGAGACATGCATGAAAAATGGAACTTAGGCAGAGATGTATTGTAGCCACAAACATCCCTGTGCTGGCCACAGCAGTGGGCAAGGGAAAGACTGTGAATGTCATCTTTGCATTTCTGTAAGGCCTTTGCCTCGGTCCCCCACAGCATCCTTTCCTCAAACTGCCCAGAGATGGATTTGATGGGTGGGCTGTTCGGTGGATGAGGCATTTTTGGACAGCCACATCCAGAGGGCAGCGGCTTGACGGGGCTGGGTATGAACTAAATATTAGCAAGAAGTGTGCAGCTAAAGAATGAAAGTCAAATAAAATGCTGTTTAAGAGGTTAAAATTGGCTTATCTGTCTCCTAAACATTCCCATCACAGAAAACATTAATTCTCTAATTGACACATATACACACATTTTCAGAAACAGCCAATGTTCTGAGAACTTTGCGGAGCAATGTATGGAACAAGATCATTATTTCTTCAGTTAATTTTTATAATGTGGAATGTGGAACTGGCAAA